GGGGGCGTGACGGTCGATTTCCTAGTCACGCCAATGAAGCTATGGAAATCGACTGGATGGAAGTTTGGACGCAAACTTCCGCACCTGTTCCCTATTTAGGAAAACAGGAGGAAATGGTACTCGACACACTTGTGTGTCGGTGCCTTTCCTTCTGTTTCCTCTAAGGCTACCCTATAGGTTGCAGGTAGGCCTCCAAACTTTGTAAGGGGTTTTTAACCTGAACTCTGGCCTCCACCCACTAGAATGGACCCCCAACTTTTGCTGTTTTGCTGTCTTGTTTGTCTTGTGTTTCTTGTTACCTACTAGCGAGGGCCCCCAACCTGCCTTCGACGGCCTCCAACCAAGACCTCCAACTTTGACCGCTTTGCTGTCTTGTGGTTTCGAGTTTCCAACCTACTAGCGATGGCCCCTCAACCTGCCTTCGACGGCCTCCAACCTAAGAGCGAAGACCTCCAACTTTGACCGCTTTGCTGTCTTGTGGTTTCATGTCTCTAACCTACTAGCGATGGCCCCTCAACCTGCCTTCGACGGCCTCCAACCTAAGTGCGAAGACCTCCAACTTTGACCGCTTTGCTGTCTTATGGTTTCTTGTCTCTAACCTACTAGCGATGGCCTCTCAACCTGCTTTCGATGGCCAGACTCTAACCTAAGAGCTATGGCCTCTAACTTTTGCACCTTGTTTTACTCAGGTTTTTTTAACCTAGGCTGGCGGGTGGCACCGCATTCAGTTCAGTACACAATATCTCAAGTGTGTGACATCATGGCGCAGCGTAGGTGTATTGAGGATTCAAGATAGGTTAAGGCACATTTGACGTCCCATGAAACAGGTTTCTTACAGAAGCAAACTACAACGCGTACAAAAATATTCAAAGATGGACTTGCGAAAGCATGTGCTCAATGTGCGCTGAGTGAGCGCATATTTAAGTTGTGTCTTCGGCTATCACTGACGCGGTTGCTTTGTGCACACACGCACACACATCGTAAGAATCACCTCATGGAGCCGCGATTGAGGACGTCGGTGTCCGTGCTGCTCCCCTTCCTTGTGTCTCCTACATAGAGAGCGCTCAGAATAAAGTTTGTCTTCAGCTTCAGTGATGGTTGGTGAAGTAGAGAAGCCGTTTGTCAGCCTACATAGTTATTTGTATTGTCCAAAGAGAGGAGCTCTCTCAGATGCTTTGCGCATAACAATTGCAAAGCACTAATTACTCTAAGTTTCATCGCCAAAGTTTGCCACAGGTTTATTGGCCCTCACCTTGTTTGATGACTCTACTACATGCCTCACCAAGGGTGCCAGCCAACCGGCTACCTGCAGTTCCAGTGAAAACTGAGTTTCCTGTCTATTCCGAACTGGTTTACAGCTGGCCCTAGAGAATCAGAGAGCGAGAGAGAGAGTGAGAGAGAGAGTTTTGGCTTATAATATATGGTTTCCAAGAACTGTGGCACCCTAGTGACAATCTATATAAATCTATATAGGACATTTATGCTGCTTGAACGCGCTGTTTCCTTCAACCCACCTTTCTGAAGTTGACTTCAAGAAGACTGCGAGTTGAAGTTGGTAAGCTTTGTTACGAAGCCTTGGTGCACTTCTGATGCCTTGAGGTCCTTTGAGGGGAAACACACTGTCATTTTATTGAACTAGAGTCAAAGGTTGTGCATCAAGGATCTATTTATCAGAATTTATCGCCTATTGGTTTGTTCCAATGCTTTGGATGTGTGTGAGGTATGACTTTGCAGGAAAAACCATTCTCCCACACTTGGCTGTTTGCCAGCCCCAGCATATCCAGAGATCCCAAGCGCATGCAAAACTGTTTGTCCAGTGAACATCCGCTGTCAAACATTCCATGAGAAGACACCACCTGACCAACTGGACCCTTATCAACACATGAGCTGTTCTCAAACGTTTTTTACTTGATACAACACCCAAGCCTCCAAAACTATGATTTTTAGTTTTTGCGTGAGAAATGACCGAGGCGACGCTCCATTTGCCATATGCAATATGTCCTTGAAACTTGCTGCATAGCTCTGCACAACCCGGCGAAACGACGCCTACAGTGACCATGTGCGAAGCACTGCAAAATGATACAGGATGTCCTAACTTTGAGTGAACGCACCCTAAACAATTACAGTATATATAGAAAACACATGACCGCTGAATCACCACAGATCATCGCATAAAGTCACGGCAAATCGGGGCTGCGCAGCACATCACATCCAACAAGGCGTCCCCTTGTTTGCGTTTGTGGAAACAAGCCCCCCTGCTGCGCCGGAGATTGCTGGTCCTGGTGCCTGATCCCTTTGAAGTATAGTCATACAGTATTTCAAGCGTTGACCGAGCGTGCTCACAATCCTGAACAATCTAAGGGCCAGTTGCAACAAACATGTCGTGTAACGTGTGGAGACACAGGGTAAGGCTGTGAAAGTCATGTTTCAGACAAGATAAATTGTGTTTGTCCACCAGGCCATGATGCCACCGTGCTGAGCGACGTCTTCAGTTTCTTGGCCCAGGGCCGAAGAAGCTTCACCTTGCCAGACCTTAGGCTCGGAGAAACAGACGTTCGGTTTTTTCACCAGATAGCGATAGCAATGGTTTTCTTATTTCAAATAAGACTGCGCGCTTTTGAAGCAGGTGTCGGTGCTGGTGCCGGTACTGGGCGCTGGTGCCGGTGCTGTGAGCTGGCTGTGTTGCGACAGGGTGTCGCTGCTGGCGCCAGTGCTCATGTCAGCTGGCTGTGCGCTGTCAAGACAGGGTGTCGGCGCTGTTTCCGGTGCTGTGAGCTGGCTATACGCACTTTGGAGACAGCTTGAGAGTGCGGGAAGCTCCAGAGTAGTGCCGTGTTGTGTTGAGCAGAGTCTGTCTCTGCTTTGTTCTTGCTCTGTTCAAAACGCTTGCCCTAGGAGCTGCGAGTATACATACATGCATGCGTGCGTGCATACATACATACATATTTACTTACTTACTGACTGACTGACTGACTGACTGACTTACTTACTTATAATAACTTACTTATACTTACTTACTTGCTTACTTGCTTGCTTGCTTGCTTGCTTGCTTGCTTGCTTGCTTGCTTGCTTGCTT